ATTCCTAAACTCACAGCCAACCATCAGGCTGGTCCATAAGTTCTCCTGACCTTCCTCCCTCTGGAGTAATGACCTGATGTATAAACTGACTCTATCCTTTGAAATATAGAAAACGTTTGGAGCCTTTATAGCCTGAAAATAGATTTCCCACAATCCCTGCTTGACTAGTCTCTAAAAGAAAATATTTTTTTCTCAAAGTAAAGATTCTCTTCCGTTTGCTCAGGACTGATCTGTTACCTTTTCTTGGTTGTGCTGTTGCATCAACACAGGAAGCGTGTTCTAGCAGCTGTGACCCAAAGCCCTTCAGCTCCCGCTCTCCATTAACCTTTGACACAGCAGGAAGATGTTAAGAGCAGAGTACCGACCTGGTCGCAGAGTCTAAGGCACCTCCTGGCTCCTCAGCTTCTGGGACAGAATAGCTCCCCTTTCAGTCGGCTATATAACGGGTGGAGCCCATGTGTATGCAGAAATTCGTCAGGGCTGAGTGATCTGCAGCCTTCAGGTGGGTGGGGGGTGCAGGTGGAACCTATTGTTCTGAGCAGCTCTTATCTCTGCAGTCGTGCAGATCACATCCTTTAGCAAATTCAGAGTTTGGGTTATTTATCACACAAGTTTCAGAAAATGTCTGTTGTGTATTTCTAAAAGCATTTCAAGCATGTGAAGCAGCATAGCTTACTGTAGATGAATTCAGCGTAACAGTAAGAAACCTTGGTTTGGGTTTGAACTGCATGTGTTCCAATATTAATCAGTGTGGATGGTTCAGACAGGCGAAGGGTCATCTCCTCAGAGATTATTTAGGATCACTCATAGCAGATATAATCCCAGATCTCTTATTAGTTGATTCATTACAGCCAAACAGGTAAACACAATCTGTTGGATTTTACCTTGAACAGAACAAAGTGACAGAGATGTTTTTCATCCTTCGTCTTCCTCCTCAGTGAGGCCCCCTTCATCTGAACGCTGAGCGCTGAGGTCGACCCTCTCTTCCTGCACGAAAGGCTAAACAAAGCCCACAAAGAGGCTGCTGCTGCCAGTGGATGTGGAGCAGAAATCCTGGACCTACTGGACCTGCTCCATCCTGCCAAACCCGGCCATCAGAGACCCTCTTCTCTCTGAGGCCTCATACTCGATTACAACACAATGACTCCCTTCATTGTGTTGTAATTCAGGTTAAGTTGGGCACCATGATCTGCTGAAAATATCAGCAGCAGAATTAAATGTTCTACTTCCATTTGGACTCAGCTCTGCTGTACCCAGGGGCGGATCTACCATTAGGCAAAACTAGGCAGTTGCCTAGGGCCCCAAGTTACCGGGGGCCCCATGAAACTCCTTTTACATTTATGCTGTCATGATTCATGCAGCTATTATTTCATCCAAATGAAAAATGGAGAACAGAGAAGCAGATCATGGCTTGTCTACAGTGAAAAGAAGGACTGGGTTATTTACTTTTGCCGTTGAAAAAAGCAATCAGTTAAGTAGTGATTGGAAAAAATCTTTCATTCCTTTAGAGACAGCATGAAAAGTCAGCTGAGTACGAAACATAGAGATGAAAACAACAAGAAAAGAGACAAGAGGAGAGGGACAAAACCTAGAACAGATAATGTATGTCTATTCTATTAAAATGTCTGTATCTGTATAATGGGTCTGTCTTATGTTTTGTCTTCTCAATTTAGAGGGCCCCATACCTGCCTTTGTCTAGGGCGTAGGTCTTCAACAGGGGGTCCGTGACCCCTAGGGGGTCCACAGAGGTACTGCATGGGGGTCGCGAAGTTTTGGTTGATAACACTTTTTTTTTTTATATTCCCCCCTGCAATTTTTCCATTAATTGAAAAGTCTTTAAATACACATTAACATGAATAAAACACACTGTAGTAAAAAGATAAATGGAGGCAGAAGATGTCTTTCTTTCATTCAACATATATAATTAGGGGGTCCTCGCTCCATCTCGCCATCAGTTTGGGGGTCCTTGCCCTAGAAAACGTTGAAGACCCCTGGTCTAGGGCCCCAAATTTCCTAAATCCGCCCCTGGCTGTACCTGTGTGATGTCATCACTGTATTAGAGCTATTTTGCTCTTTTTGGTTTGGAAACTTCCCAACAAACACAAACAAACACGCAGAGTGACTTTGATATTCAGCCTTATATCTTTATTTTTCTGGACAAGCAGGAAAGGTTTGTGGTTTATTTCTATTACAGAAATCAGTAGGGTGGGGGGGTTGGGGGGGGGCTGGCATTTAAAGGCTTTAGCTCCTCCTCCTCTCCTGATTCAAACCCTTATTAGTTGAACTTTAGTTGGACGCTGCAGCTTAGGGGAGCAGCTCCAGCCAGCGTAGCACTGACAGGTGAAATTCTCCACCCAGACGTTGAGGTCGCTGGTGGTAGGCAGACCAACAGCCACATACTTCCCTCCAGCCTGCAGGATGCGGAAGGAGGTGGGGTTGAGATGTAGGTAGTGCACAGCGTTGTAGTCTTTCCTCACGCAGCGGCCATGGCCCTGACACAGCACCTGACTGCAGAGCATGGCGGCCGCGGTCACGTTGGCCACGTAGGGGCTGAAGGTGGAGGACAGGTACTCAGACAAAGCCTGGCAGCTGGCCTGCAGGAGGAGCAGTGGGAGGAGCAGGAGTTAAACAGCAGATCTGAGTCCAAACATCCCAGAACCAAAACCCAACCTGACTTTTTAACTTCTTACTGACTTTTTAACCCTTCCTGCTTCTATTTCATATTTATTAACTCATAGTTGTTTTATTGTAGGAAACAGATCATTGAAAATGGAGATAAAAGGAGTTTGAGTCATTTAAGATTTTTTATCTAAAACCGTTTTTCCTTTGTTTTTCCTTTCCGTTTGGGCCCGCTGCCAGAGGGGCCTCCTGTTAGCAGGCAGTCTGTGTTGGTCCCTACAGGAGAACATAGAACCGTGTCATCATGGTGGGATCCCTCTGGTTCATGGTCAGCAGGTTCTGCTGGACGGCACCAATTTTTACCTCAAAAGGTCGGAAAAAAATGAGCAGAACTGCAGAGGTGGTAGTAGGCTGATATACTGCCTTTATTTGGTTTATTTTTCTCAACAATATGTTTAACATCTAAAATTAAAAACTAAACTAGTTAAAGTAAAACATAAATACTATTTTCTGTGTATAGTTCTTCATACAGCTGCTTCTCATGCTTTATGACTGAAATGTTAAACTGATAGAAAATACCAAAAAAATGACAAGATATAGGATGCTAGAAATGTCCAGGATGAGGCTCTATAGAAGATTAAATCCTTTTTCTCCATAGAAATTATTTTCTAGATGCTGCAGACTAGACTGCTCTGTCTTACAGCAACAATAGAAGATATCTATGAAAAAAGGAACATCATCAAATCAATGAATGAATGAATAAAATAATCAAATGTGTTTTTAGGATCCAACCTTTGGACAAAGAAAATTAACTTTAGATCAGTTTATGAGAAATGTTGAAAAACTTTTTTTCATCAGATGATCAAACATTCAGATTAAAGTTTATTTAATGAACTCAGAAGCTTTTCAGTAAAAAGATTTGACCATCATTTATCTACTTTGTAGAAAATAAATAAACAGATTTTTTGTCCAACTTTTTAGTTTGATTAACATCCTTTTACAGCAAAGTTTATTGCTGAAACAAAATATGAATATTTTTTTGTATTTTTTCTGATAATGAGAACACTGAGTATATTTTCTTGAAAGGGGAGATCGAGGATCGTTTGACCTTCTTGGCTCCTCCTATTCAGAGCAGCAGTGTTGCTGATTTTTCTCCTGTTCTGCATTGAGCTCTGAGCCTGTTGGACGGCGGCTCCTCCAGACCAACAGGTTTATCAGTTATTGATGCTGAAGGACCAGCAGCTGAACAACAGGAGAAGCTGCAGCAGAGTTTCCACAGAAACTCAGGGCCAACTGGGACACGGAAGCTGACTGAGAGGAGGGCCCGAGGGCCCCTGAATGGCTGCTAAGCTAAGCTGTCCCGTTGGTCTAAACGGAGAAATGATCTCAGCAGGATATGAGTGGGATGAATGAGTTAAATATCTGGAGTAATAAAACCTCTCACAGTCACAGTTACATCACATAAAGGCTCAAATTGGAAGTTCTGAATGTGTTCATGTCAGGAAAAAGGTCAGATTCGACCTCAAAAGTCCTCCTGAATTTAAATAGAGCAAGGATGAAAATGTTAAGATCAAATGTTAGTGATGTAAAAGGAGCGCACCTCTGTGACAAAGTTTATTTAAGGAAGTGGCTCGTTTTCAACTTCCTGGTGACAGTAGCTGACGGCCGCGTAAGGCTAGACCCACCGGTTCTCATCTGAAAGCTGCGCTAAGTAGCAACCAAGTTCATCCAGGGAAGTCTGTAGTGTCTGGACATTTTCCTTTCCTTTACCTTTTCCTGAAGCTGATCGTAGTGACCGTCTATTCCTACGATTCAGAAGGAGCCAATCGTAGGGATTGACTTTTCCTAGGATTCAAAGCAAGTTGAACGCAGTGCTTTTTGAACCCGCCTACTGAAGCAGATCCCAGGTAATCCAACTCTGGTCAACCTACACCTAACTGGCAGCAGAACGGCTGGGCCCAATTGCTGGGTTGTCTCCTTGGCAACAGGCCAACCTTGACCTCGCTGGGACACAGAAACCAGACCTGAAGCAGCTGAGACTTGCCATGGACAGGTGCAAAAGTATGACGTAAACAAAACATCCAGGTAGCATCAAATGCATGGAGAGAAAAGGTTTATTCTCTAGATTTAACCAACCAGGTTCCTTCCAGACCACCATTCTAGATGCCGTTATTGAAGCAATTAATTAACCTTATCAACCTAAATAAGTAGAATTAAAAACTAAATCATGTGGTAAACTCTGTTCACAAATTTATGGATCAGGTTAGTATTGTTGGTAAGAAACATTTGAAACTTCTTACATTTAAAAACTTTGAGAATAAAATGAAAGTAATGGCTGAACCACAGAAAAAAAAACAGCAGTTTCTTGTTTCCTCGTATCTGGAAGCTGAGATAAGAAAAGCTTTTTATCTATGCTGCACCTGAAAGAGGAAGTGATGACATTCAGATTAGTGCTGATTAATGCTTGGTCGTCTTTGTTCCTCTTTAGACATTTCAACACTTTCAAAAGCAAACAAGGCAAACATCAACAGAAACATCTCCACTGGCAAGAAGAATGAAAAAGGTCAGAGGTGGAGGTTACCTTGTTGTCGTAGTCCTTGGAACCGCCCCATATCACAACCCCAGAAGCTCCCACAGCGGCAGACTCTCCGATGGTGTTAACCAAATCCATCTGAAAGATAGAGACAGCAATGGGTGACAGGATGATGGAAGTTCAAAGTCCTCCAGCTCCATCTGCACCATTTATGATCTGGTAAAAGCTATTAAAGGAGGCAGAGCAGAGAGGCTGGAAACAGCTGGACTATATATATATATATATATATATATATATGGCTCTAGGTGTGTTTGGCAACTGTATTAAAAAGATATCTAGGATTATTATTATTATCCTCTATTAATGAGGAGAAATATGCTGCTCTTGCTTTACAGCAGTAAACAATTTTTCCAGACTAGGTAGGATTCCTGGGTCTGTGGACCCAGGCTGTGGAGTGATATTTTCTCTGCAGTTTCCTTGCATTTTGCTTCAAATTGTGCGCAGCTCTGCATTAAACCAATGAGCCAGCGTTCGATTTTAAAGGTTTTCTTTTTCAAAGAGGCTGTATTGTGTAAGACAGTACACAGAGAACTAGCAACCCCATCAACAAAATCATCAACCTGTGAAGGGGAATAAACTAAGCTTTTAAACTTGTAGCACTGCTCAGTGACACAGAAGAGAGAGAAAGTAAAACAGACTATTCAAAATTAATAACTGCACTATGTGATAATGATCTGCTAAAGTGAAACCTTCTTTTGGGGAGGAGAACTCTGTTAAAGTAATCCTGAAGGTTATTAAAAAGTGGTCAGAGAGGGCAGGGTTGTGAACAAATACTGTTTCTTCTCATTCAGTGCCATATGCATGGGAATATAACACAAGGTCCAAAGTATGAAGATGAGAATGTGTGGGACTAATTACATTTTGAACAAAAGCAGTAGCGTCTAACACCTTCAATGTCAGCATGGATGTTAAAATCTCCCACTATGATGACCCTGTAAATATTTAACACCAAATCAGAAAGGAACTCTGAAAACTCATCTAAAAATTGACAGTAAGGACCTGGACGATAGAAAGTTCCATCCATCCATCCATCCATCCATCCATCCATCCATCCATCCATCCATCCATCCATCCATCCATCCATCCATCCATCCATCCATCAGACAAAAACGGGAGAAGGTGCAAGTACTCCTAAATAGTCAAAAGCAGAGGAAATAAGTGTTTTTGTGTCCACTATCGCTTCATGCATGCTCAGTCAGAGGGACTGCTGCTCATTGACACAATTCAAGTTATGGCTTCAATTCATGCTCCTGTAAGAAGATCTAAGAATAAAAATAAAAAGCTGTCATTAGCTTCATCACTATGTTTATATTACTGTGGTGGAGCTGACATATGATCCCAGAGGAAAATTAGATGCTTTCCTGAACAAATATTTGGATTTAGAAGCAAATGTGAAAAATGAATTGTTGAGAAAGACATTACCTGAGTTTGAAACAGTTTGGTCTGATCCCGATACAGGGGTCTGGAGTAGACATAGACTGGCACGGTGTAGGGGTGCTTTGGCAGTGCTGCCACTCGCAGCGCCTCCTGGACACGATTGCGGACATAGAGTGCAGCCCGGGGAGAGTTTCTCAGAGTCATGTGGAGATAGACAGACGGAAAGAGGGCAGTGCTTCGTTCCCACAGCCACAGAAGCTTGTTATTCTGCACCTGAGTTTTAGCGGAGCACTTGCCAGTGTATCCTGGCTTGTTCCATCCATAGTTAAAACAGTCAGGAAGCAGATAAAAGCCCCAACGGCGGCTTGGACGCTTGCCGATACCAATGCTGATGGTTTTTTCCATGTAGCGCCGTCCTGCTACCTCAAACTGGCTCTTAGCCATCTGGGATATTTGCTTTGTTGACAAAAACGGAGCCAGCTGCAAAGCATGGGTAATAGATAACTTCTGATAAATACGTTTCGATCCCCAGTTTTGATCCCACAGTGGGCGCCAGGACTCCCAATCAATCACAGCCAGCCCAGGAGAGGAATCCTGGGAGATATAGTGATCTATCGTGCTTTTGGCCTTAGACAGATGTTCTGTCAGGTTGCCGTTCTGAGGGATACCCCCTTTGTAGATCTTGTGCTTAATTGCGTCAACTTTAGGGTAAAGGCCAAGGCGATCCTCATAAAAGATGGTAAGAAACTGACCTGGCACAGCTGACGGGGTGGTTACTGCCTGGAAGGCAGCGGTATCCAGTGGAATTTCTAACAGTTTGCAGTGGTCAGTGGGGGCGTTCCATATGGCCACAAAAGGATGGTCCCGGACCAGCGGCGGCTCGGTAGGCGGTAACCCAAGGGCTGATATGATCATACAGAAGCCCAGACAGGGAAGGAAGGACAAAGCCATCGCTATGACACTGTAAGAAAACAAAGAAAAATAAATAATGATCAAAAACATGATAATACACATCATGTAATGAACTACAGGAAATGCGATTGTATGCCAAAGAGACTTTCAGTAAAGAGAAATAACGTTCTTTCAGCTGCTCTCATATTTAGCGGTCGACAACAGATATACATCAACCAGGCTTCCAGCGCAGATCCCCCAAATTATCGTTATAACAAGCAGATAATCAAGGTTTAGAATAAACACTTGGTTACGGTGGACAACCAGCGGAATATAACATGATCAATAAATAAATAAATATCAATCAATCAACTTTATTGTCAATTATAATTTACATTGCAACCAAGATTTGTGTTTCAGTACAAACCAATGTTTAAACCTATGCTTTAAAGATTTTAAAAACTCCTGCAGGTATAAACTTGTTACTCGGGAACACATTTGGTCACTGAGTGACTAGTGAATGACTACAGAATGAGAAGTTAATACCTAGTTAGCAACTAATAAGTGACTAGTGAGACTCTATTGAGAGACTAGTGCTTGTATATTGAATTCCTAGTAATTAATTAGTAACTGAGCACTAAGGGATAAGAAGTACAGCACTAGTGAGGGACTATTGAATGACTAGAGAGTGACTGGCCAATGACTAGTGAGGGACTAAAGGCTGATTGACTAGTGAGGATTAGGAGTATGACAACTGAATGATTAGAAAATAACTAGTGAGCGACTAATGGGTGACTTGTTGATGAGTAGGGAGCGACATGTAAATTAATAGTAGGTTACCAATGAATGAATAGTGAGGGACCATTGAAGTTACTTGTAAGTCACTAGGGAATAAAAAGTAAATGACTAGTGAGTAAATTACAAGTGACTGGTTAATAACTAGAGAGTGATTAGTGAGCGAGTAGAGATTGACTAGTGAATGACTAGAGAGTGATTAGTGAGCGAGTAGAGAGTGACTAGTGAATGACTAGAGAGTGATTAGTGAG